CTGAAAGTGTCCGTCGCAAATCCGTCGCTGATCCGTCGCTGATAGCATTACCTATGACTGTTTGACCGACGGAGTATTAGCGTCGGATCAGCGACGGAAAGCCCTTTCAGAGACTTATCAGCGAGGTAATTTTCCCTCGCTGATACCCAGCATTTTTGTAGTGATATGTCAAAGTTCAAATTTATAAATTTTAGGGAGTTAAAAGTGTGTTCATATATAATATATAATATAGAAAAGATTAAATTTTGAAAACTAAAAGCGACAAATTAGCTGACCCCAAGTCCCTTTCATAGATCCAACCTTTGGGGCACGATCATGCCAAAGTAAACGAAATATACAACTGGCGCGACATTGTGGCTTAAAGGGACACAGTTGTGCCATGTGCTAAACGCAACTCTCCTGTATTTTAGGATCTTATTGACCAGGGTAAGTGGTGACTCTTGCACTGTGATCATAAGGATCGCAAAGAAGTTTCTATTATAGTTGGATTGGAGAAGCGATTTATTTCAATCACAAATTCAAAGAGAAAAATCGGTAGAGAATTGCTTTGATAGTTTCATTTGAGAGTTCTGATTGACATAGTGATGATTTAGTTTTTGGAGATCCGCTATTTGGTTTCTCTTTTATGGGATCAATAAAATCTTTTTTTTCTTTGGTTTTTTCTTATATATATCGTAATTATCTCGGTTGTTCGATGCAAATTTGTTTCACATTGTTAATGTGTTTGTTGATAAAGATGACATTTCCCCGTTTGCTATATTTTGCGTAACATTTGATTAGTTGCGAAGTGATTTAAACCTACCAAACTAAACACTGCATTACTATTGTAGCATGTTTTTGACATGTTCTCAAATTTATTAGGATTGAACATTTTAAGCTAAATGTAGACCAGATGCCCAGACACTTGCATGTGATACTTCCATAATCCATGCACCAGTCGCCAAGGCATAACCGATATTCTTCTAAGTCAACATTTCTTTAAATACGCTACAGGAAAAGGACTTCGATCTGTTTGTATGTGTGTTTATATCATTCTTCCATAAAAAAAATACATATTTTGTATTTTATTTTTTTTAATATTACACGCATATATATGGGTGTAGAGATTTGTTAGAGATATGGCTGCAATATAAATATGTATAAACATATATATATATATATATACATAAATACAGAGACATATATGGTTGCATAATTATACTTGTGCAAATTTGTATTTTAGAAATTTGCAATTTATTAATCACCCAGTTTCACGCTCTCTCTTGAAACTGATATGATGGCATTCAATTGTGTTAAGTCTGATTTTTCATTTGATATGGTCCGGTTGGTCAGGAAACCTAGTTTATTTACTCCAGAGTTTCTTTTATGGAGAGAGAGACTTGGGATTACGTGTCTGTTTTTCTAAGACCCATAGGACCATTTTTTTATACTTGAAACTTCACAGTAAAACACTGTGATCAGTGTTTTTGCTGTGAAGGTTCAAACTTCTTTTATCTTAACAATGTTTTATTATGAAATTTCAAGTGTAAAAAAATGGTGTCACAGGTCTCACTTTCAAGCACGTGATCCCAACCTTATATATATAAAAGACGTCAAAACATGAATGCTAACGTGATGGATCATGCAAAATTAAATAAGAAGCAGATTTTGGTAGTCCAAGCACATCTATTATTAGAGGTACTGCAGTGAACTGAGAACATGTTAGGTGCTCAGCAACACATATAATGGCAGCAGTTAATAACTTCATCTTCTTCCGTGAAGAATTGAGACCCTACTCTACCTAGGCCCCGGCTAACCAAATTAACTAATATTCTTTTTCTTTTTCTTTTTTCTTCGAATTGAACACCAACATTTTTATTTTCTATTTTCTTCAATATATACAAAAAAAACTTCACTTTTTTATATAAATCTTCTGATTGTTGTTATAAAAATCAACTGCTTTAACCATATATATATATATATATATATACATACACACACATGCAAAATAGTATGAATAATCAAAAGGCCTTTGGCCTAGCGGTATCGTAGCTTTTGACCTTC